TTTGCAATTTGTTTTTTCAGTACTGACTAAATGGAATGGCTTTCAAGTCATGAATGCCTTCCTCCTGGAATTGGTTGTGCATACCATTTGCACAAACCTTGAATCGACCGGTGTGCCCATGTAAATGGTAAACAACCATACATACCACTCTAAGAGACCATCTGATGACAGATTGAGAAGTGCGTGAGCTTTTTATTTAGAGAATTTTTTTAATGTATCTGCTGGGACGTGGACAGAGATACTGGTCATTAATGAGAGGTGCAGATCAGACGTTTGGTTCAACTGTAGTAACCAACCAAGACAACAAAAAAAACGTCCAGGGGCGTATTCCCACTAAGCAAAACCCTAAATACATACTGGTAGTGTACTGCAGAAGTTACACCAGTATCGTGTAAACACTCTCTGAGTTCAATTAAGTCCTGCACTGGCCTACACAACTTCCTTGTGTCTTATGCATGTTAACACTCAAACCTTTTTTACAGTCATAGCAAACAGCGAACACTAATGGAGTTTGAGAAAGAGTTTGAAGTGTCTCATGCATAAGTAACAAATGTAGGTTGTTTGAAAATTTTCTCAGTGATAATTAAAATTCAAATAAAAATGCACGTTTGAAAGCTTGAGCCTTCAGCCTTACTTAGAGTTTTCTTGACAAAACACAAGCATTTGTGGTCTCGCGGAATAGTTAAAAATGTGGACTACTAGCTTACTTTTTTATGCAAAAATGTACATAAGCTTACCTGTTCTGAAAAAGATGCTTTTCATTGAATGAATTTATGCAGTTTAAGTTCACTTGACCACACGTGTTTGAAGGCATCGAATTTCTGCGAGCCAGATTGTTAAGGTCTTGCACCTCTCCCAGACGTTTTGCAGCTCTAAACTTGATAAAATGCTGGTTTTTTCTTCAACAAAACAACAGAACGGCTAACATATACTGAAGTAGATTGTAGTGTCCGCAAATATGGAGGAATTCAGCCATTTTTACTCGTCGCGGCGGGAAGGAGTAAAATTTGCAATTCAAATTAGTTTAGCTGCACCACAGGTTACCCAACCGTGAGAATCTCGGGCTATCAGGGGTTTTGAGGAGATCAACGTTTTATAAGAAGAGGGTATTTACAATCCAGCGTAAAAAGAGGCAAAATATTTCGTTCAGTCGAAGGACAAGTTTGTTTCAAACGTCTTCAGACAGGAAAGCTTGGCAGAGAAAGTTGTATAATAAGAATTTACTGGATTCGTCTTTCGTATGATCTGAAGAATTATACAGACCTAAGAGGGTCCTATCTGCCTCAACCGATAACACCCGCCTATATCTGTATAATCGGGGGCGGGGGCGGGAGGGGGCAGGAGTACGTTTCTCGAAAGGTGCGGTAACTTTTCGGGCCCGAAGGCAAAATTTAAAATCTAAACCTGTTCAATAGTAGCACAGTTCCTAGCTCTGAAACCCCTAAAATTTGCTTCGTAAACTGAAAGTTTCAATGTATCATTTTCAAAATTATTGAAACTGTGATTTTTACCGGGACTTTCGAGAAACAAGCCCCAGGGTACTTGACAGAAGAATGCATAGAGTTATTCCTTCTAGGCTTTTGGGAGGCATTCTATACCCACCATCAATGTAAAAAGGGTGCTTACATGTGGTTCTTTTCTACAGGAAATGGGAGTTTTCCCGATAAAAGTAACTAACTATTCAGCCCGTAACAATAATTACCGTTTGTTTTCGACCGTTCTTTTAATCTTAACCAGATTTATATTATCATTGCTAAGTATTATGCATTCACAATAAATTTCAATATGTAAAAAATAGGGGAGTCCGCCACAGAACAACTGATAAAACAGTTGCTATGGTAACTGTTCTAATTGTGGTGATATCTCCTCAGATCTCCTCATGAGCATTTTCAACACCATCGAATTTTGTTGTTCCAGATTTTGTTGATCTTGAACTTCTGTATTTCCATGCCCTGCTCCAAGAACGGGCACAGACTTTGTTCGGTGCTCAAAATAGTCGCCTCTCGATTTCCCCAGGCTCAGTAAAGCTTGCCGAGGTTCGGTGACAACGTTTATGTACGCAAAAGGGTGTTTCATACCTGGTCCATGGCAAGAGATCTTTCTCTGCTTATCAAGGCCAGGTGAATTGGGAAAAAGAGACGCTATCCGCGCGAGACTGGGTAATGAAAACGTCAGAAACTCCAATGGGTTGATCGGATAGAAGCAATATTACAACGACGATAAAAGTTGGCTCAGAATGGCGACCCCAACGAAGAAGTCAGTCGACGCTAACAATCAGGGTGGCAAAGGGGTTTTCCGTGATACGTGATGAACCCAAATAATCAGCGTGATGCGTCCCACCTTACGCGGCTAATTTGGGCCAAATCAATTGGCCTAGTAGCGTGATGCGTGATTTACTATTTTCTCCGCGCGTGACGCGTGATTTTACCTTTGAAATTTCCGTGATGGATAATGTCATTTGAAACTAGAAGCTGAGGCATTAAAAATAGATAGTTATTTCCTCAGATCAAATGATAATAGGATACTTCTTAATGTAGTTGATATTTTATTTTTCGGTGTGATGAGTGATAGGTAACCTCCTTTGCCACTTTGCACAAGGGCTGTAAGATCAGTATTTGATTTAATTGTTCTCGATCGAGATTTGGTCTTCACGGCGATCATGACTAATGCGTTACCTGAAGAACAACAGTGAAAGGAAAGGTGATGATGTTGATAATGATCATGCAGCTAAAAAAGGCCTGACTCTGAAAACAGGTTGGTGGAGCCGATTCTCAAACAGGCCGCTGAGGTTCCATAACTACCTGGGGTCTCGTAAGTGGAATTCATTGCTCACTTCTGTTTGGTGCTTCTGTTATGGGATTACGGGGATGTCAGAAAAGAACTGTCCGTTTATGTTTTCTGTACCAACCGCGATAAAAACACTGCCGGTTTTTAGCACCTGGTACCCAGTACTTTGATAATGTAAAAGCTTTACTGATTAGAACGTCTTTACTAATTGCTTCATTGTTGCCTTTTGTTTTTGGTGCGATCGTTCAGAGCAGCGTTATCGCATCGATAACCAAAAGCTACGGTTGACTTAATCGTTGTATACTACGTCATTGATACCGGTTCAACTTTAGTCTGAGTTATCGTAACTGGCGAGTTAGAGGCTCCAATGCAGAAATATTTTGCCAAAAGTCCTACTTTCTTTATACATTTCTTAAGGCAAATTATGCAATCAATACTGTACTTAGTCAGTTACGCTGCGGCTAACGACACAGTTTTGTTTGAGCGGAAATCAATAACTTCAATAGACTTGGCACTTTTAAAATATATGAACAAACTAAGGCCCGGTTAGAATAACGTCTCCTTTCACATCTGCCGAATATATTATTATTATTTTATTTTATGTATTTAGCAGATTACCATTAAGAAAAATTACAAATTTTCTCGTGACAGGGAACCCTGAATAGAGAACCACGGGACAGAATTACAATCTAGGCTTCCCATTTTAAGGTTAGGGAAGTTTGTCATCTCCGTCTGTACTAAAGGCTCAAAAGCCGCTAACAGATGTATTTCATAATTGTGAAAAAGTCCAGCAAACGTTCTGGTTTTGTGCTTTATTCATACTTTAAAGACAGCGTAGTATTTAAAAGGATGCAAAGTTCCAATCTAGGTATGCGAAAGGGGTACCATTTGTCAATGAAAGGGTATACGACAGGGATACCTTTTCCGTCAAAAATGTTATATAAAAGGGCAAGGTGTTGGACCTCGGGACGGCGCCTCCCCTTAAAAAGCTTTGATAGGTACCCCTGGGCCATTTACGAACGTTGGAAAATAGAAAATTTTATCAAAAGTCAAAAATAAATAAATAGATGATAAAAGACAGGAATAAGCTAAATAGGAGTAACGAAGCTTAGAGGTATCATCAAGAAGGGGTAAAACTTGACTATATCAGACATGATAATAATATAAAGGAAAAGGAAAAATAAGTACAAGCAATTATTATTCAACCCTATAAATTTAGGGCAAGTTTGCTAGTTGAACTTAAAATCTATCTAAGTTCTGTTAAAAGACATTTACAAATGCTGATGAGGAAATCCATTGTTCTCGCGCCCACGTATATTCGGCGGATGTAAAATGCGACGTACGTTTATCAGTAACGGGCCTATTTAGGAAGCATCTGTCAATTACGATTGTTAGTTTGAATTTCCCTTTTCACAAACTACCAAGAACTTCACACGGAAAACAACTGTTTGAAATGTAATCTATTTGCACTATATAATTCTCATAAAGAAATCTCCGTTTTTTGTCTATTCTTCAACGATTATTGTTTTTCATTTTCTTAATTTTTCACTACAAAAGACTTTGTTCGTCATTCCAGCAGCCATAAAACCATTTGCATGTAAATGACACGCCAGCTGAATATAGTAATCGATGTCGATCAAAGGATAGAATACCTATATTAATTTTTCTACCGTTTCATTCAATCAATATGAGGGCATATCCAGTTCCTTTTTGTGGTGCTTGCATGAGACAAATAGATAGTTTTCGTCAAATCCATGATCCATGATCCATGAAACACCCTCCCAGACCCGGAAAATGGGGAATGCTAGTCTGTTAAATTAATTTTTTATTTATTACCAACCTAATTGATAAAATAATCTTAAACTATGTATATTCCACAGTCCTTGTTATTGATAATAGTTAATTCCCTTTTTTCAAAGCTTTCTTAAACTTCCCCACTCCCCTTACTTCTAATGTTCAACTGTAAAGGAACAGCGTGAAGGATAGTAAAATAGATCTTAAAGGCTGCAGCAAATTGATCAATAGTTGACAAGAAAAAGTGTCGGTAGCATATTAATCCTGACACAATTACGATAATGTTTGAAAAGATGAATTGTTTAGTCCAGTAAATGGGAGATGATGTACCGAAGTGCTGCATTTTAAGAGAGAAAAATCTATATTTTGGTTTTAAAGTCTTACCAACGAAATTGGTAGGTTTAAATATGGAATAGTTGCTATGGGAAATGTTCCAACTTTCGTGATGTCTCCTCCTGTGTATTTTCAATGTTGTTCGAATTTTCTTGTTCCACATATTGTTGACCTTCTGCATTTTCATGCCCTGCTCCTAAAGAGACCACAGTCACAGTGTTTGATGTTCCAAATATCCGCCTTTCGATTTCTCCAGCCTCGGCAAAGCTCGCTGTTCTACACATTAACTCTATCGACGCAACACGCAATTCTCTTATTCTGATTGAGTATATCAATGGATTGAGAAACGAGTTCATTAAAGCCATGGAGAAAGCAAATAAGAAATACTTAAACAACGTTTCTAGAGTGATTTCATTCTTTGCGTAATTCGAGCTCAAAGTTATCATAACGTCCATTGGTATAAAACAAACTAGAAGCACTCCTAGCACGATAGAAGTTAGTTTAAGGGCTTTTCTATTTTTTACACATTGTTGCCTGGCCTCTTGTGTAACTTGCTGTCCTGCAATCTGCTTCTCGTGGCGACGAGTGACGAAGTAGACTTTGACATGGCAAAAGATAATGAAGACTAAAGGTAGAGCAAAGGATATGTTACTTAAAAGGACGAGAATACTTTGATCAACCAAAGAGAAAAATTGCACGCAAAATGAGAGAACATATACTAACACAGAAGCAATCAGTAAACGGGATTCAGTGACAATATTTATGTACGCAAAAGGGTGTTTCATAGCAAGATATCTTTCGCCACTTATCAAAGCCAGGTGGAACAGAGACGCTATGGTCAGACTTGGCAATACACGCGTGAGAAACTTTAACAAGCAATATCCAACGGGTTGATCAGATAGAAGGAGTATTATAACGACGATGAAAGGTGGTTGAATAGCGGCCCCAACGAGGAAGTCAGTCGACGCTAACAATGCCAGTAAGATATTCGATTTGGTGGCTCTCAATCGAGATTTGGTCTTCACCGCGATCATCACTAAAGCATTCAGAACAACAGTGAAAGGAAAAGTGATGATGTTGATAATGATAATGAAGCAAAAAAATGCTTGAGATGAAGCAGGTTGATGAAGCCGTTTCTCAAATGTCTCCAATAGACCAGTTCCACAGCTTGCAGGGGTCTCGTAACTGGAATTCATAGTTTTTGGTTCTTCGGGTACGAGATATTATGTCAAAAGACAATTGTTTTTTATCTTGGCCTATATTTACACTTGCTTTAAGCACCTGGCGCCCTATTTTTATAATGTACAAGTTTTGCTGATTAGGGTGAATTTACCAAATTAAGGTTTATTGTTCCTTATTGTTTTTAGCCTGTGAACCGGCCTTTGGTCGAGCGGGGAACTAGGGATTTTTTTCCCCAAACAGAGAGCCTGTTCACAGGCTATATTGTTTTACTTCGATCTGATAGAGCAGCGTTGGCGATAGGTCCTATTACTGTTTTTTGCAACATTTGACTCACACGGGACCAGTTAGCCGAAATATCTGTCAACATTATGTAAAAAGAACGCCCCAGAATTATGCTAAGTTTAAACGTGATTTGTTGTTGAAAAGTTCATGTTTGTATGTTAAGGGCAAGTTCGTGACGTGCTTAGTCTCCAATGCAGAAATACTTTTACCAAATATTCTATGTATTTCTTGAGTTAAAATTATGCGCTGAATATTCTGAATAGTACAATCAATACTTCCGTACACTTCTGCCAGCTGCCGGACAGAGTTTAGCTTGAGCGGAAATCATTAACTTTAAAAGACTTGGCATTTCAAACTCATCCAGGAAGTATCTGTCCATTACGATTGTAAGTTTTATTTAAACACTATCTTAATAATAATAATAATAATAATAATAATAATAACGGTTTCATATCAGTACATCCATGGTATGGCTCTTCGCCTGATATAAGATTAAAATAAGGAAATTAAAAGGAAAAAAATACATAAGTCTGAATTATGAATTTGTAAAAAAGCTAGGTAATAAAAAGTAAAAAAATGACAATTATACAATATATACATTATTTAAAACTATGCAAGAAATTATTCCGCCCTATTCCGGCAGCGCTCCCTTAAAATACATAATGTTTGCTTACTGAAGGATTTAAAATTATCACAGCATTTAACATTGGATGGCAGAGAATTGAAGAGGGCTGCCGCGCTATATTGAAAAGTGTCCGAAGCATAGGGAATAACTAGATTTATGGTACTTGATGACCGTAAATTTCTAGCATGTCTTACTTGCTCAAGCTGAAGGTTTCTGGGCCAATCATGAGGGTATATTGCTTTGTGCGCGGCCTTTAGAACGTGCCATTCTCTACGTTCTTTCATAGGCAGCAGTGTAACTTAAGAATAGAGTCAATATTGTTCACATAGCTCCAAAAAACAAAACTGGCTGCCGCAAACTGGATGCACTGAGGTGAATAATTGTTTTAGTATATACTAAAACAGTGAGATAATTGAGCACAAAAAGATGATTTTTAACTAATTTACTGTTGCCAACGATTACAATTTGGCGCGCGATGACCGAACGGCCGCGGTCGTCGCTTTTTCTTAGCGACAAATAAAACTTTTGAAGGCGTTTGTTTAGCTCTTGCGGGGAAGTTTCTTCAAAAGGAGTTGTGAATTCTGTTTGTATTTAAAATAATTCTGTAGAAAGATTATTAAATTTAGTTTGAAGCTTATTTATGAACAAGTCAACTAAATAAAGTAACCCAAGACTTAAGCTTAATTTGCATTTGTAAACAAAAAACTTTTTCACCGGTTTTATCGATAACTATTCAAGTCAAAAAGACAAAGCTTTACCTATTAAAACTTCCAAACCGAACTTCGTCACCTTCTTCATGTATTTCGGGAATAGCTTGCTTGATTAGTTGTGAAATTTCTTAGTTTGTTACGGCAGCAACCGGGCAAGCATTTTGCTCGCAACCTACGCAAGTTTGGCGTCGCTCGGTCGGAGGAACTGGAGGTGAATCAGTGAATAGTGCAGGATAGTCACTGATTGAGTAGCCAATCAGAGCGCGCCAAAAACACTATCCACTGTTTTAGTATATACTAAAGAATATTATATCATTAAAGTCTAGGCGAGATAGAACCAGACATTCAACTAAATATTTTCTAAGATGGTAGTTTGCAAAGTTCTTGGTTTTCCTCAGCGCAGCTAGGATACCATAACAAGATGAGGCGAGATGCTTGATATTATCATCCCACTTCAAGTTGTCAGTCATGTGAACCCCAAGTAATTTAATAGAGTGAACACGCTCGAGGGGTTTATCTCCTACAGATAAATGTATAGGACGTTCAGCTAGAGAATGGTAAGACGACATCTGAGAAGTTGAGAACAACATACACTTGGTCTTTGCAGGGTTCAGCGCCAAGTTGGAGTCCTGGCACCAGTTTGTGATACTTACAAGAGTCTCATTCATGTCCACAGCTCTTGAGTCTAACTCCTTGACATTAAAATGGCTGTACAGTGAGGTGTCGTCCGCATACTGGACGCATTCGATCGATGGTGGAGTGACCTCGTGTAGATCTGATACAAAAAAGTTAACAATCATCGGTCCCAGGATGGACCCCTGTGGAACGCTAAACTGAGACGACTGGTACGAGGACTTCCTATCGTCGATCTGCACGAACTGGCAGCGGCCAGATAGATAGCTCAAGAGCCACTTGAGAAAGGGTTTTGAGAAACCGAGCTTGTAGAACTTCGCGATGGTCGCGCTAAAGGATATAATGTCAAAAGCCTTCGAGAAATCGGCTAAAACCATAAGCGTGACCTCATTCCTTTTCATGGCCTAGCGAATATCGTCTCTAACTCCCATCAAGGCTGTAGTGGTGGAATACCCTTTACGGAAAGCAGAGTTGCGATTGTGAAGAAGATGGGCGTGGTCCGCATAATTCGTCATTTGAATAGCCACAAGCTTCTCGAAGACCTTGGATAGAACAGGAAGAACTGAGATAGGCCGAAGTTGATCGTTAGAGACCGGGTTGTCAATCTTTGGGACTGGAGACACCCGAGCAATCTTCCATTGCTTTGGAAAATAAGCTTTCGCAATGCAATTGTTGATGATAGATGTTAGGGGGACTGCAAATAGTCAGGTCGCTTAGCGTCAGTATCGTTACTGGCCGGATACAAGCACCAATTTTTGTATGCACTCTTTTTTCGTTGTAAGAATTAAATTTAGTCATGGATCCATCGAAAATATTTCCTCTATCTCATCAAAAAGAGCGTGGAAAATTAGGTTAATTTGCATAAATTCAAAATGGCGGCGCTAAGTACTAAGATTTTAAACAACTCCAAATTCGTCGCACTTGTAATGCAACTATAACCCGTGTTTGTTAAAGAGATGAAAAATGATGATAGGACTGATTGCTGCAGTCCAATTCGCTCTTCAGTCATAGGAGTTTAAAACATGATTACGATTACAGACCGGTATGGACAACACGAAGATCTTAATTCACCAATCAATCAAAACCAAAACAAAATGTTTCATAACTTTAACCTTTCCAAACATTAGAATAAAACTTTTTCGAGAGTTCTTTTGCTAGACGTTTAAAGAGAATCTATTCAAGAGCGCGTGGGCGAGATGGCGCGTATTGTTTGATTACTTACGCGTGACGCTTTCTTATCTATTAAACTATTCATTAAGCTGAAATCAGCACCTCCTTAGGCCAATCAAACTAGAGACTTTTATTGGGTAGGCATGATTTAAATAATAAAAATATTATTAAATTAATGACAAAAAATCAATTGATTTTTTGTTCAAAAAATCTTAATTACCCTTTTTTTACTCTGAGTTAACACGCTCTCGAAATTAAATGATCGTCATAGGTTGTTTTAATAAGGCATTCCAGTTAAACAGAATATTTTCCTGGCAATTGCGGGGAGTATCCCGGAACTTTCGAAAACTAATTACTTGGGCAACTAAAGAAGAACGTTCTTAGTGCCTCCTTTTTCCTCTTAGATCAGTTACTAAAACTACTCCTGATTTGAAAAATACGACTGACAGTTACTGTAAATCGGTATGTACTTTAAACATCTAAAGTTTCATCTCCTTTCATCTCACTTGTCTGCGAGCGCTGCAATACGAATTGCAATTACAATTGCAAAGCGGGTAACACATCAAGTTCGCTATGCCACATTTGCAGTTGGAACAGTCTCCCTTGCATGTACACTTGATTAAATCTAGACAGGCTTTAGAAAGCTCTGGAACAGTTAGCCAAAGTGGGCTCCACACATTGTCTATTGTGTCCCTAGCCATGGTCGCTTGGGGAAGGAATCATCTGCTGTACTTGGGTACTTGTAACCCAGATACAAGCTTGGTAGACAGCCCTCTTCGTGTGTTGTAGGAGGGCATTCTGCGTCGGTGGCATCCTTTCCATCGTGACGTTCTTTAAACAGAACAGTTCCCTCCTTGTCTGGTTGATTGAAAGTGAAGTGCTCGTTTTGTCGTAGACGAGGACGATCAGCCGCTCAATCTTACGAAAGTTCTCACAGTTGGAATCAAGGAGCTCAAAAGGATGTGAAGCTAGGTAGACAAAAGTGTCTGTAACCTCTTCAAACGCCATCCAAGCTTGCCAGAACGACTTCTTCCCTTTTCCCCAAAAAGCAGGGGTTGTGTCGGATCCAGAAATCGCGTGAAGCATTGGTAGTGCTTGTGACCTTTTTGTGCCAAGGCTGGTGGACAGAGCATTGATGCTGTAAAGTCTGTAGTTCTTTCCCACTCCAAAGGCGACCCAAATATCAGCCTTGGGCTGTGACAGTAACAGCTTGTGAAAGACACCAATGAGGACAACAACAACATCAGTGTCCACAGTGCGAACTTGCACAGTCGTCAATGCCTGCTGAAGTGTGTGTAGTACATGAACCACAATTCTTGTGTCGGCCTCTTCATGATTGCAGTTTGACATGGGACTGGATGAGCATACCGTTAGCACTGACTCTTCCGAAGTGATGTAAACGGCCTTTCCCTCGGGGAAGACAAAGTTTGCCACTTTATAGGTTAGAAAGTCAAACAGCTCTTTCTTGTTTGATGAATCATGCAGAAAGTCTGACCAGTTTCGTGGTAACTTGGTTTCTCCGGATACCTTTCTGCGGACCCCCTTTCCTCTCTTCTGACGAGTCGACTCCTTTAAACTTTCCGGTCTGTATGTGGTCCATACAACGTCCAACCTTTCTGTTCCTTGTAGGTGACTCTGAAGATGAGGGATGAAAGCCTTCTCTGAGTATTCTTTGAATGTTGTAATTCCAGCGATGGACAAGCAGTGTACGATGACAGCACCATCCAATACTTTACAGCTGAATGTTTCAGGTGGGGTAGATTCATGTAGTGGCTCAAGGCATTTCATCAGTTCAGACTTTGTGCCCGGAAAATAAAGTTTGCCGAATTCTGACAATGAGGGAGGAAAGGATTGGACTTCATGAGAAAAGAATTCTTCCAAATACCCTTCACGGCTCTGCATTGAGATATACAACTGACCAAAAAGAGACACATTATTTTCAAGAGCTTTAATCTTCCTTCCTTCCCTTCTTGTGTCTAGGGACACAAGATCTGAAAAATCGGCCAAGAAAGGGTTTCCCATCTTCCTTATGATGCTAGAGAGACTAGTGACCTGCAATCCAGTCTTCAAGCTGTAAAACCCTTTCGTAGGAAATGCAGATTCCCAGCTGGTGCAACTGATTGATAAGATGCTTACTTCTGGTCAGGCCATGTATGTTCAAGCCAATGTAAACAGGGAGTGGTGGCTCGCACTCTAACGAATGTCTTGGTTTTGCCTCTGGATCAGCAGTTGATCGTTTCTTAGCGTTAAAGACTATGGCCTGGCCAATAGTGAGGCATGCTTGGGTACTTGTTTCTCTTGGTTTTTCAAGTTGGATCCATTGAGAATTAAGGAAATGAGGGTCTTGAGACTTGATGGTAGTGACGTGTCTTGACATTTTTCCGGAAAAGATCCGTTGAAGAGAATGCCTTCATGATTAAAAATGTCTTTCCTTATTATAGAAGCAGCCCTGGCCAAAATTAGTGCGTCTTCTGAGAAGTCTCTTTTCTTTAAGGCGTCTTGAATCATGTTACGCATTCCGTCTTTGAAAGCTAAGAAAGTGTTCCTGCCGTCGAACTGTTCTTGAGCTTTCTTGAAGTATTCCAACAAGCGCTCCTTTAGCCTGGTCTTGTTTACTGATTTCGCATTACGTAGATCCTCCAGGCGACTTTCATATAAAGTGTGCAGCTCCGACAATTTAAACAGGAGTTTTCCAGAATTGATTTCTTTTTTGACATAACTTGCAAGCTCGACAAACACGCGGGAGTTACATACGTTTTCATCAATATTTTGGTTATCCTTGTTTGATTTTCTGACGTGACTGCGAATTCAATCAAGCATTTCAGATAATACTTTGCTCCGATCGCAATAAGATCTCCTCCAACTATTCTTACAAGTAGTCGGGAATCATTAAGCTCTGTTATTATTGTTCTTATATTTGCGTCTGTCTCAAATAAAGACACCTGGCGGAGAACTCCCTCATCTTCTCGAGCTCCCTTCTCACACAAAAAACACACTTCACTGTTTAACCGTTGTCGCTTACCGCGAGAGCTTGTTTCTGTCGAATCACTGCTTTGTTTTCTTTTCAGTTTTGCTCTTTCAAGTTTGCAGCTGCTAAATTTCGCATAGCACGACTTATGGCACGACGCACGATGAAATTCCCAGTTTTCTGCAGTCTCATCACATCCAAATTTGACTATAGTGACTATCACTGGTAAAGAATCAATATCTTGAAACTGCTTTACGTGATTAACAAAATTCGTATATGCGTCTTTTTATTTCCTTTCTTTACCGGGTTTTCCAATGGACATTTTAAAGCTTCTGAGGTTTTCCTCTGGCATATAACACATAGGTTCCAGTCTAGCTCCATGTTTTGCGGTCACAATCTAAAACAAATAAGGAATTTCTATAACAATGTATATATGCCACAATGTTGGCTGTTAATTAAAACTGAATTTAAGCTACAGTAAAACGGGCAACAAAAAAACGTGCAACTTGTTTTGAAACATTGCTGCAAAAAGAGTTGAATAGAGATGTTTCGCGTTTTACCACCGACGTTCGAACCAGTCTTGTAACAAATAAGGTTGCAAGGTGTTTTTCGTAGGTGGTAAAACGTGCAACATTGCTATTCAACTCGTTTAGCACCAATTTTACAAAACAAGTTGCACTTTTTTGTTGCTCGGTTTCACAGTACTTTTAAGGAAAATTTCACTATAATTCATGATAGCTTGGACCTCTATAGGTTTCTAAATATAGCAACAATGTCTTTTAACTGCAAAACTACAAGTAACATTGTATACATACCAGGTTAAGAAGGACTGCATTTGGTCCCAACATAAAAGCACTAAAACAACATGGCGTCTGAAGCAGGGCCCGAGAGTTTGAAGATGCTTTTGTTTTGAGAGAAATTATTCAAATTGCACGCAAAAATCCACGTGGATCCACGGATAAAAATGTTTAATAGTAATTAAGGAAACAATCTGGTGATTTTGATGCTTGTATCCGCTGTGTAACGTTTCCGCGAAAATTTGGAGTTAAGCGACCTGACTACAAGAACTCAGCAACCATCTTGATGAAGCGGGTAGGTATCTGATCTGCGCCCGTAGAACAATCCGATCGTAGATTTTTGATGACCTGGAGAACGTTCTCACTCGTGACAGGTGACAGCTGAAAACGCATACCCCCAGAGGGGACGTCAGGCAGGTTATCTATCAGGCACGTGAGATCCTCTATTGGGGTCGCCCGAGTCTCTAGTGTTCTCTGAGCAGTCGTCGCGAAGAAATCGTTTAGTTCGTCCGGATCAAACCGTAGGGGCCTTGCACTTGGCTTAAGCACTCTCCAAATCTCGCGCGACTTATTTGAGTAGAGAGCTTTTTCAATAAATGCCTTCTGAGCAGTTCTTATTGCCGACTTTAATTTATTCTTGACCGAACGAAACTCATGCTAAGCAGCATCAGTGCTGGTCTGGTGGGCGGTAAATCTAGCAGCATCCCGTTTCTTCTGAAGTTCCTCTATCAATGGGTCCTTCATCCATGGGGCGGGTGATCGCGTGACACGAACCTTTCGCAAGGGGCCGTGTCTCTCAATACACTCGGAAATTAGTGTATTCAGTGACTCTAGTTATTCGTCTGGATCGTCCGAGTAGTATATAACAGACAGAGGAAGAGTAGAAAGTCCTCTTTAAACACATCCTCGTTAAAGTTCCCAATGTCCCGGATAAATTTATAACGAGGCTGAAACCGGGGGAGCCGTACATTGACGCATGCGTAGATGGCATCGTGCTTTCATTGATGGGATCTCAAAGACCTCCCTGACCGAAAACAGCTGATCGATTCGTGTAAAAAAGTATGCGGTTTCGTGTGGACGGAAGGCTGATTCGTGTAAAAGAGTGTGCGGTTTCGTGTGGACGGAAGGCTGATATCGTGTAAGAAGGTACGCGGTTTCAAAAATATCCGGATTAGTGCGGACGGGGCCTTATAGATTATATTTTGTATGAGACAAGGGTTCAGGAAACCTTGAATAACCAAACTTGTGTAAAAAGGTATGTGGTTTCGTGTTGGACGGGAGGCTGATTCGTGTAAAAAAAGTATGTGGTTTCATGTGAACGGAAGGCTGATATCGTGTAAAAAGGTATGCGGTTTCGTCTGGGCGGAAGGTTGATTCTTGTAAAAAGGTATGCGGTTTAAAAAATATCCGGATTCGTGTGGACGGGACCTTATAGATTGTTTTTGTATGAGACAAGGGTTCAGGCAACCTTGAATAACCAAACTTTAACAGTTAGTTAAATCGTGCAACAGAGGGTGGAATTGTACATGTTGCTGCTTTACAAGGGCGTAGCTACTTACTCCTAAGGGGCTAGGGGAGAGGAGATTTTAGATGGGGGAGGGGGAAGGGGGGAGAAAAGAAAGGAAGGCCTGACACAAAACCATTCAGCAAATCGTGTGACACATCCAAAATCTGAATGTGACAGTGATTGGATAACACACAATACTCCCTGACGTCATCGACCGCAAGTAAATACGAGCAGAGCAATCGGCATGGAGAAGCCATTGAAATTTTTAATCGATGTTTTGGTTTCATGTGGTACTTTTATGGACAGAGACGCTGAGAGGAATTCAAAAAGGCTCTAGAGGGCGCTCTCAAGTTCTTTCTGGATGGTATCGAATCATGCTGTGTGGGGGTGGAAGGCTCCAGTAAAAGTATCTGTGTCAGACGTTTCTCTCCTTCAGCTCTCTCCGTTTTTCTCTTCCATCTTTCCCCTTCTCCCCCAGAAACGCCTGATACTCAGGCAATAATGTGTATGGCCATAGTAAATTGGTCATTGAACCACGCACCCAAGTTCTGCACGGTATTCACTTTGGCGACATCACAATCGCCTACCCTGATGATATTGACAGCAGTCTTCTTTTAAATGATGTCGTGATGCTATTATAATAAAGTCGGTTTTGTCGTCGTTAAGCATTCGTTTGTCGGAGTACATCCAATGCTTGACCTCCCTGATACAAGTTTCCATTGATTTAACTGCCACATCTTGACTAGAAGTACAGCTTTGGTTAAAAAAGTAAATAAATAAAGCTTAGAGTCATCAGCATAACAATGCAATTTTGGAAGATGACTTCTGACAACGTCAACGATTTTGCTTGAATTTATGTTGAAAAAAAGGGACCTAAGCATGAGTCCCACGGGACGCCACAACAAAGATGAAATATGTCTGAAAGGATATTCGTAGTGTTGTTCCAGACAGATAAAAGCAATGAACTACGAAAGTGCAGTTTCATTCAGACCCAGCTTTGATCTTAAACGTGTCGGCAAGATACTAGGGTCGACAGTAGGCGGTAGTCTAACAGAACGAGGAGAGTACAGTGACCTGGTGACTTATTTTTGTAAGAATGCCTTGTGAACTTTCACCAAAAGCTGTTTCCGTTATGTGTAGTTTCTTGTAAGCAGACTAGATCACACGATGCAAATTGTTCTCAGCCCAGGGTGACTGAATCTGTTCAGCAACAGCAGTCTCCCTGAGCTTGGAAATGTAAAATAGATTACTTACAGGGTGTAGGTTCTTAAAGTTAGTCGAATCAAATACATACTTCTTTAATCATGAATGTGTTACTATTGCCTCTTTCCATATTACAGGGAAATGACCAGACTCCACGTTATTACAGGCAAAATCTCATCCATAAACTCAACTACCAAACTCAACTACCAGTGAGGCGCGCATTGGATGCAATAAATATGATTTTTTACGAATCGCATCAAAATATACCGTGCATCATCCATTAACGGCGTTTTAAAGCTGGTAAATAAGCAGCAAGATTGGTCTTCACTCCTCGCGTTGGCACAATAGAATTTCGTCGTTTAGAGTGAATGCTTGTCACCTTGTCAATGAAGAACCTGCCAATGTTATTTGCACCCACCTTGGAATTTCATCCTTCGGGCAGCTATCCTGGGTGCCAGAGGCTTTTCATGCGCAGTTTCCGGTTTCGGTCAAGTCTTAATTAGGCTGCGAACGGCAGACGTTAAGTCTTAATAAGTTTTTTCTCGCGGCTTCGCCGCTCGTTTCTTCGGCCTTCGGCCGAAGTCGTGTCGGCCTGTGGCCGACACCCGGCGAAAGCTCCTCGTTGCACGCGAGGTTACCTCTGGTACCCCCAGTACCGGGCAGCAGATAATTTCTTAGATTTTGATAACAAGGAGTTAGCGGCTCAAAACAGCCTTCCCTGATGAAAATTATCTTTCTCGATGACCTCATTGTAATCGGCAGTCCCTACTATCTGAAAGTTTGGCAGAGGCTAGATCAGGATTGAACCTTAAGCTGTGTTTTGTATGAAGTCTTAGAAGTGGACTTTTGAGAGTGAAAATCATTGGATTTCCGATCGGATGTCATCTGTTACCGAGAGCAGAGGGCGAGACTGACGTAACCTCCCCCGCTCCATCTTTAGAGTGAGGAATCAAAGTATAATTGTCATAATCCCCTATATATAAACCTTGCATTGTTGAACCAGATCCTTGCAAAAATTTTCCGTTTAATTGACAATGATGGTGGTTACTGGCTGACGAACTTTTTCTGGCTGATGACCACCCTTCTCTTATTCACTACAGTAGGAGATTTGGAATCACATGCTTTGTGCGTAGAATAATAATAAAAGTATTTTCAGATACCCTGCTTTTGTGTCGCTAGCACTATTTAGGATACTATCGGCGTTCATGGGCTTTCGGACAGCTTGCAACATTTTTCACTTTTTGCAGCTGACAGACTTTGACTGGCACTTAATTGTATACAAGCAGTGTGTGCTCACGCAAGCGTTTCGCACACGAATTGGTTTCTAGGAAACAAGTAATTTATCCGGGTTGTTAGCGTCTGAAAAACAAAACCATCACAACAGAGAGATCACGAGGCAACGTCCAGCGATTCTTTCTATTTCCTAGCCACAGCGCACAGTGGGCCCTGAAGACTTCGTTCAATGTACGGACGACTTATTGATTTATGTAAGCTTGATGCAATCAGTTTTTAAGGTGGGTAGTCTAACACATCAAAAACAGTTGCAATATCAAAGACGGAAGTGACTACGCTTTGAAAAATCAAAGTTCAATTTTACATTGATTCTAGTGAGATACTGAATGAAATATTACTATCGAAAAACTACTCAGAAACTCATTAGAAACGCTCTTTCTAAAGGACTGAATTAAACAATATTACAAAGTTACAGCCCCTGTCGTGCGATTTATAAACAAAGGCAAAGGGAAGTCTTTGATTTTATTAGTCACACTGTACGATTGTACCGATAGTCGTTAGACAGTATATCAAACATTGAGTAGTAAAGAAAAGCACGCTGAGATTAATAGCATACAATGAACTGTTTGTACCTCAATATCAGCTCAGACACCCGTATCACTGCATGATTTAAGGGCGTGTAGCACTGACAGGCTTCTAAACGGCTGCAAACCAATGTCTTCGCTTAAGAACAGGGTTGCCGTCTTGACTATTTACATCGCAAGCACTCAACGACACTGGCGTCAGCCAGGTCACCCGAGCCACTCGGAGCTCCTGACTGACAAGTGTATCTGTTGTAGGTCATAATTAAATTCAGGTGAATATTTTTCCCTTGGTTGATTCCCAATTTATTTTGTCTTCTAGCCTTAATTATTCACTCATGAATTGCAAGGTATGAAATTTTAACCTTATTAATTCAATTTTGACCTACAGCAGATATATCATTAAGCTACTGTAAACAAGTTTTCTAAAAGTAAAAGAATAAAATAAGATGAAAAAAAAAAAATAAAGATAATTCATGGCGTTAATGGTATTCTGTACGCGCTCATAGAAAAGTGCTATTGATAACTTATTCACATTCTCAGTGGCATGTCGTTTGAAAGAGGGTCCTCTGTGCCTAGTCGTAAGTTGAAGCTATATTAATGGGATGTTAGCAAAAAATATAACCAGCTTATTCGAGGAGTTTGGATTTGAGTTTGAAGGCATAGTTGGTAAACATGTCTTACCCTAGACTACCAGGAGACAGATAGTACATGTGTCGATCTGAAGACAAATAGATTAAGATGATTAAATAAATTGATTCAGTAATGGTAGAGGTCGATGATTACTAAAACTGTACAAGTAAATTCTAATTACTTCTTCCTTATGGAGGCTGAAGTTTCAGGAGAAACGTGGGGTCTTTTATATATTTCAACCAGATTAACATTTTTATTTATTCAAATTTACAAGGCTGTAGTTACAGCAAGAGAGGATAATGGGACTTGTCCATTTATGGCTATTTATGTCGGTAATTTTTTTCACGGCATTTGTTCCGTCCGACATCCGAGCGACTGAAAACCACTGACAGTCACGCAATTATCGTCTTTAACAAAAATGGTACCACAGAATGAACAGTCGCAATTAAGTTTTATGCTACGCTTCAACATTATTTTAGAGTTGATTCCAAAAATTAATTTAGCACTGAATTGAGAATCTAAATCAATAGTCTATTCACAAATACAAAAGAAGAACCAAATAGACAGGGAAAAAAAGCAAGGATGGTCTATAACTTCTGATTGGTTGCGACAGTTGCGATGCAGAGGGAACGTTAAAAATCAAGGATATTGTGATTTCGTATGTGGACCTATGTGGTAGTCGTCTTAACGAAAACAACTTAGGACTTTGGGGAAAGCACTCTAACCCTTGTACGTTCAGTCTTAGACCATAATACCTCCAGAAATTACTTGTCACTCTAACGTCTACTTCTGTGGACCAAATCCTTTGCTGTTATCATTCAAATGACACCTTTTTGCA